ATCCTTCAATACCCTCTTAACCGAAGCTCTTCAGGCTTGAGCCTGGACAGACTAGTCACCAAGAGATCTTGATAGCAAAACGTCCTTTGGCTGGTTCGGTACTCAAATTCCCGTTGAACTATACTAGTTCTGACAACGACAATCCTCAGGCCCGCCAAACTCTTGGCGTCTCGCATGATTGCTCGAGTTTGTTCGACCAGAATACCGTCTAAAGTCAATTTCAGCAAACTGTATCAGCATAGTGCTCTTGGATTAAGCTTGTGCTTCCCCTCCACGGGTGCGGACGATTAGGTGCGGTCTTTGAGGGCTAGTTTAACTCTGGTCAGAAGTGCTGCAACTGCTAGGAGACAGACCCTACGCATTGTTGTTTTAAAGTGAGAGCCGTCTGACTAAGTTGTCGCATACCGTTATCCGGCTCTATCTCATGTTACAATAATTTCTTTAAAGAACCTGGTAATATTGTTCCGTGGGTATCTAACATTCACACACATACCATGCGGCTGGGCGTGGAAACAACTCAGACAGTTAGGCTGCTGCGAGCCCTCCTAGGAACGATACTCGACCATTTAAAAGACCTGTCTCATGCAGCCGATGATATAGGTCATGATTCAAGCAAGACACCGATGCCAGTCGCGGCTACCTGAACCAAATATTCCAGGCTAGCTCAAAGTTTACTTCGTAGCCGCTATCTTCCATTAGAATAAGATCATGGGAGCATAAACAATGAACTGGAAGCTTCTCACTAGTACAAAGCGCTAAGGACCGATCCTGTCCCCAAGTCCTCAAACAAAAGGCCCATCCTACTCCCCGGCAACTTGCAACCATCATTTTCATTAGTAGCCTTTATCAAATACACCATTGAGTGTGAAAGGACACCCTGTGGTAGCCCTTTTCGGTTATACTTGGTGAATCCCACGAGTCCATTCAAGAGGCTCCGGATCAACATGTGCACCCGGGATCATTTCGCATTTGGCCAGATGAATTACCCAAGCTCGTGTACTTCACAACATTATCTTTCAAGACACTTTCCGGCAGTGGACAACATGTTTCGTGCGACATTCTATGAAAACTACGACTTCGTCTACGAACGACCTCCTCCAGCACCCTTTTTGGCAGAATCACCCACGCTCACTTCCTCTCCACCACCCTCGCCCCCCAAATAGCGCGATCCAACCTCGACCCAATAAGCATGGTTCCAAAGCCGAAAAGGTTGATGATACGCTACAGCTAAAGCCTCGGAGGCGTCGGAGAGATGAAATGCGCCGAAAGAGCCGACGGCTGTCACAGAAGAGAAGCCGCGCGTCCAAGTCCGCTCAACTAGAGGCAGATGCCAACATGGTCTCTTCAACTAGCCCCGGGAGAGTGAGCTTTGAATTTCCCAGTCATTGGGTACTGCCACATTTCCGAATCTGACTTAAAGGATCACCAAAATCAGTTCCGCACCCTTCAACCAATATACGGATTCCGACCTGTCCTCAAGCAGCCAAGAACCTACCTTCGCTCTTAGACCAATACCGCCTACAAACAACCCTGCAAGCCCAGCGAGGTACCCATCGTCACTTTTGCCCAGTGATGCATCCGGAGCGCTTGTCCGTGGCCGGCCAACCGATCACGACGGCGTACACTGCTCCCTTATTTTGCCAGATTATCAGTCCCGATGGCCGAGTTCGTCCTTTGAGATAAGCCAGAACCAAGCATATATGGAAGCAGCTTGTATTGGATTAGCAGCGCATCTTGAAAAGACTCAAGTTCTGCAGTCATTGAGCATCCTGCAGGATTATACGGCGAAGCACCCTTCTCTTTTCGAAAAACAAGCACCCGAGACGGTTCGAAATTGGGTGGTGGACATTGAAAGGGTGAATGTACCAGGGTCATTGTCCGAATGAGGAAATGCAGTTCAGACACAACAGGTTACTTCAATGGTAGAAACCATTGTCTTGAGGGCCCATAGCCTCATGACCGACCAGAAGTTAGGAATATACAGATTGCACATCACTACCACATGGTGCTTCCCTGGTATTCCCCCAAGTAAAGGAGACAATACAAGATCAACTGTGTACCAGTTTCAGCAGGGTGGTTCCCTGGCTACCATTCATCGGATTTTTAGCCTTTCCTGCTTGAACGTAGCTAGCTGTATATAAAACATGAGTATGACAGCTACTGATTCATCGAACGTGGTGCCTTCAGGTTCAGCTTTTGGCATGCCTCCCCATAAAGCAAAAAAGCGATGATCCAGCACTGACTGTTCTATTGAGAATAGTCTTAATCTTCTGACTGAAGACCCGCTGTTCTCAAAGCTTCCAGCCATTCTCCATCCTTGCTTAAGAATTACGTGGTTGTATCAGATCAAGTATATTTCCTCTTCGGTATATGTTGGATGATGTGGACGGCGATGATGCTAGTTTCCCTCTTTTAGTTTCCATGTTGGATATAAGTGGGAAAGAAAGCCTACAAATCTGAAAATGGGACTTTGGTATAACCCTGCGAGTTTGAACCCCGGACGGAAACCTGTTCCATGGTAGACTTTCAACGGTGAATAAGATACGATCGATATTGGAGGGCTCAACGATAAATCACCGGAGTCAACGAAGCTAGTGGGAAATGCGAAAGCAGCCCACCAAGTATAATGATCAGAGCGTTTAAGTCTGTCTGGGACGTTTAGAGCTTTGGAACTAATTATTATTGGAAGAAGATCTTGAGATGCTGATGACACCATTTGCATTAGGAGCATCATAAAGGTAGCGGGCATAGACGCACTTTTTTGCATCTTACCCACTCGCACCATAGATTATTTCAGCGCTACGGTCAATGCCGAAATATTCATGCAGAATCTCCATTCTTTGTATGCCTATGGTCAACTGTGGCCTACTTTCTCTGCAGATGAAGCCTAGAAGCTTCTGTCGTTCTCAATAATTTGCAAGCAGCGCCCAAACTGAGCTTAGCGAATCCATGGAACCTAAATTGTTAATCGTAAACACCTGTAGAACTTCTTCTGTACGCTGAACAAGAAACTTTTCGACGCGGACACTGCGCTGGCCAACCAGAAGAAACTCCACCATCGACTCGACTGCGATAGACCGGCCAGACCTGCTCGTCCAACTGGAGCTTGAGGCTGCAACACAATCCCAGTGCTCGGGCGAAGAAGGCCTTTGTCCGCACAGACTGGAGCCGAAACGGCATCGGCGTATAATCGCGAGGCTCACGTACGTGCTTGCAGCGACAGATGACAAACATACATCTGATCTGTAACGAGCACCACTCTAAACCCTGGTTCACCTACGCCAAAGCGGTAAGAGCGCTGTGCAGAGCTTGGACGAGGTCATACTCGCTCCCTGGCCCCGGGGTCCCCACGATTCCAAGGCGACCAATCTGGGACGATCCCGCGAAGAGAGGTCACGGGTGGAGCATTTTACAAGACACCCGCACGCCGTGGCCCGTGGTGGCTGGTCAAACGGGTACGGCAGGAGCCTGGTATCCAGCGACGGTTTATGGTAGCTAGTACAGGTCTAATTCGAAGGAAGACGATTGATGCATATTTCCAGCGAGTGCTTCAGCTCCGCGAGCAGCTGTGTATGGATGTCTACTTCAGTGGTGGGCAGCCCGCATGGTTTCAGACCCGCTGATCATTCGACACCGAAATACTGACGGCGGGAGACACCGCAATATCTTTATTGAAGATGGATTAGTGGCTTTTGTGACCCAGTATCAAAAGGGGTTTTATTCGTCGAACGACACGGAAGTCATACATTGATATTTACCCCTTAGGTTGTTGAATTAGTGGTGTGGTATTTATGGCTAGTGTTGCCACTTGTGGAGCGGCTCAAGGCATGCCAGCTGAAAATACGAGAGCAGAGTAGGGGCACTTTTGGCGGAGGAATTCGCGTTTTTCGGCATGATTTGGTAAATTGTCCAATTCGAAAAAAAGACGGTAGCTGTGAGAATCGGCAAGACGGTGACCACCGATAGGTTGATCGCGTGAATCCGCACGACGTCCCTTCTCGGTCCCAGTGCCGAGCGGCGAGCGTATTTGTGGTCGTCAGACACAGCAGCAACCGACAATAGTCATCCGACGGTTTTAGGAGGTTTTCAAGCGGAGACAGGGGTTAGGGTTAAATGGACAGGTGTTAACGTTACTGGCATATCGTGATATCGCCGTTGGTATCAGTCGTCGATTTATGCGGCCGTCCAATGTATTCCCGAATAACGCCAAGCGAGACGATCGAGCCAATGCCGTGCAAGAGGATGCCGATTCCCGAGGACGAAATGAACGCACAGCAATTGCTGGGCAGTTTGCGGATTCAAGCCGTGCAGCCATCTCACGTGGCCAGCATGATTTACGAGCGAGATATCACCGAGCAGCCTGGTACGACGGCACACCGGCGCGAGAACTTCCGGCTAAGTAGCACCCGATTCTCATACAATTTGTAGGTTTTGTTTCTGTAGGGTAACTGAACCGGATCCGACAAGCCAATTCTAGTAATTGTGCGAAATTAAAGATTCTATAAAAATGCTTTGCTCTTGGATATTCGAATTGTCTACGTAATATCTGTATTTAACTAGTTCCGATGGTTTTGCGGTGGATTAAAGTTGGCCAAAAATTGAGGAATGGGCCTCGCGCTTCCGCCCCGTCAAGATATATACGTCAACTACCGTCACCAAGTTTTATCCCGATTCAGACAACCATCACATCAGCTTTTTCCCGACCACCCTTTAGGACAGATATCTCGTAGTCATCAAATCATGGTAAGCCATTCGGTTCACATCACGTATCAAATTTTAGAGTTCATCCGACAGTGGAAAGAAGTAGGGTTGGGAGCTTCTGCTTTCGTGACCAAGGGTTTCAGGTTTTCTCGCACCCCAATGGCACAGCTAATTACTTTAACGAAAAGCGGAGTTCATGCTGCAGTATCTAGAATACTCAAGTCCTGGGAAACTGCAGAAAGAAATGACGAAACGAAGACAACAGGATGGCCGACGGATGATAGAGAAAGCCGAGTCAATCATCCCGCACTGTTGGCAGCAACCAGGCTCGCTAGCTCTTTATGGAGCCTTACCAGGTCAAGCATGTCGGTTTGTTCCAGAGAAACATTTTGATCAATGAATGTGGATAAAAAAACCTCACAAGAGTTCAACTGAGCTCTGATACGCATTGCGTTGTTGATATCACTCGTCGAGGTCCCACTCAAGTATTTGCGAACGAGAACATTGTGTTCCTCAAAAATGCGAACCATATTAGCACGAAGCCTTTCTCCGAGATACTCCGCACTTCCAAGTGATTCAGATGCCTCGTCAGCTAAGAGCCTTAGTTCATCAGTAAGTTTTTGATTGCCACATAGAAGGGGTCGCTCCGATATTCGAAGTCCCGAAAAATCGTCTTCTAGCGGGCTTTGGTAGGGAGCCGGATGAGGTCCAGACGAAAACCAATCCTTTTGCTCATTACCTCGTAATAGCAGCCATGACTTTGTTTGCTCGTATAGAGGGTCGTCCCGGAAGTGCTGTTCCCAGAGAAACAAAACAACTTTCGCAATTCCAAGGCATCCAAAGTTGTTCGAGTTCCCGAAAAGCTGATTCAGTGATTTGCACATGGCATTAAATCCCTTGATTCGTGTACTGCAGTGTTCCAATGGAGTTTCGTCCGAAATTCTAAGGAAATGTGCCTTGCATGGACCGTCGTATGCTTTTTCCAATGCTTCAGATATGCGAAATGCTGCTTGCCATGGCTTATAGTTTGGGACGTCGTGCCACATTCGTTCGCCTTTCTGGAGGCAAAGCATTCTAATCATCTCCGCGGTGTCTGGCAGACTGAACTCAGACCACAATTCCGAAAAGGCGGCCACGAAATGGTACATCAATAATGCTCGGTATTCAGGTCTGCAGTCGGCATTGTTCACGGCACACGATGGATGGAACGACTGCAAGACCACCGCTGCATGATCTTCGGTGATGTTGATTTCTTTCCGGCCCAGTCGGTAATCCCGCCCTGGCAGCTCGATTCGCTTGAGCCATTCGTCCGAATACTCTTCACGATGGCATCTCAAGATCACTTTGGGTTTCTTTGCTTGCAAAATCCGAGCGAGAGCTTCGTGACCTTTTCTTTCTCGTCCCGTCGCAAATTTGTCGGGCTGAAAAGGGAATGCGTTCAGCACAGTAACAGTATGTATGCTTCGAGCGCCTTTACTTGCGAAGCGAATGAGTTCATCCACGGCCGAGAGCGTCTTGGAGCTTTTCACAAAATCCTCGGAGCTGCAGTTGAATTTGTGATTCTGCCTGTCAAGCGGACGCTCTAAGATGATGATTATGTCCGAAAATCCGGTAGTCAAGTGTTGCGCTTGCATGATTTCGTCTCTAGGCTTGCTGAAGCCTTCACCAAGGCTCCCTGTTATTTCAACGGCTGCCACATCTCCGGAGATGGGAAGGCAGGCAGGTGGTGCTCCGGTCAGCCGTCTCAATGACTCAGGAATCGGAACACCAAGACAAGTTTGGAAGTTTTGTTGGGCCATATCGCTTGAGATGTCGCGGGTTTAAGTAATTCGTGCTATGGGTAGAACGGATAGTCGGGTCTGCTACTGCGCGAGAAATGCGGGAATTTTATTCCGGTGCCGAATTATGATGATGCCTACAATGCAAAATACGGAAGGACGGCATCGGAATGGTTGACGTCATGGTATTCTCGGATCATGCGGACTTCCAGCTTGCGAAAAGCCAGAAAGAAGGTACCCGCAGGCTTATTTCCATACAGGTAGAACGAACTAACATTCTGACATTCGTAAATTTAAGACCTGATGGCGGGCAGAATGAGTATCCTTGTTGCTTTTTGTGTAAAGGCTTGTCTGGATATCGCGCCAGCATTCCCGTGAGGAGCGTAGTTGCTGCTTCTGGCCTGGTGAGCCGATATGATGACCTTTTCTGCATCCCTCCATGCATGGATGGATTTGGGTGCGAAAAACAAAAAGCGAGACGAGTTGTAACTGAATTGTTGTCTTTCGCGACGATCCGCTGGTTTGTTTAGTTAACTAGTTAGTTAACTAAGTTAACGTTAACTAACGTGATTCCCGCCCGAGCTGCGCACCCGGTCGAATTGCGCACCCCAAAACAGATAGTAAATGCCATAAATTACTACTTCATATCTCGACAATGTTATCTATGGATGATAAGATATTAAAGGTATATAATATAGATAGTAGTTCTAACCTACTGGGGAAGTATAGAAAAATTACCGGAAGCATTAATGGATATATATATATTGGGGACTCATACAGACACCCCCTTTGGATGCTAACACCCCCCTGCCTGAATTTACTCACCGCCTTTCTCGCCGCTTTCGTGCCGCCGCACTATATTCTCTAGCAGCATCAATCGTCAAAGTAATGCTACACGATAGGTACCTACGATTACTATGTAAACCCCTAGTAAAAATAAGTCACCCCTGTAGCTTCGTACTGAAGGAAAATAATTGATGTTTACATCTCCAAATCTCGCATGTTTTGACACCCATTTCTCGCGCATTTTACGATGGCTTCCTTACATCTCAGCTCGCCGTCTGATCCTGAGCCTGAAGCTATTCCCGAGTCCCCGCCGACGCTGCCAAGCCTTTTTGACGCGCCGCCAAGCCTCCATGACGCTATTCCCGAGCCCTCGCCGCCGATACCAAGCCTCCATACCTTCCCGCTACCCCCTCTCGATCCGCAGTACGATACGCCTGAGCAAGGAATCGCCGCGATCAATGCTTTCGCCCGCCAACATGGATATGCAGTCTCTATACTCCGCTCAAAGCTCACCAAGAAGGGGGTGAAAAAGACAGTCCGTCTATGCTGTGACCGATAGGGCTCCGAAAGGAATAAATGAATGCGAATATACAGCATATTCATATTCGCACTGCAGGAATATGAATATATGAATTTTTATTCACGCGAATAAACGCATTATTCATATTCGCATTCATATTATTCATATTGTGAATTTTATCCGCATTAATACTTTGTCCGGTACAACGGTTCTTGTATTACCGAAATACGTTAGGGGTTAATTTCAAAATGCCATCACTTCATCGACGGCGTTGAACCGTAGAATGTCATTTCCAAATATATGCTAGAATTCAAGATCCGCTTATCTACTAAGCCGCAGTGGATTGTTTTGAGGTACCATACTCATCCACAAGCGTCTGATCATGGAGACTTTAGGGCCAGTAGAAAAGAGCGGTTGAAATTATATATATCTATGACCCAGCTTCATATCATCTTGTTTGGTCTATTTGATTATACCCACTAATTCCCGTAGTTTCATTGTGATCCATTTCAAATTTCGTCCATGCACTGTGTACGATGAATGGCACGTAGAAACACGTTTGCCTCACAATCTAGAGCCTCCAATGACCCTGGCTGCATTTTGTTTACATTCTGTTTACGCTCAATGTTATGAATAGCGCGCTGCAGAAATAGAGAAGTGACCTATCGATTTTCCACTTCATAAGGGGCATATAAAGCGCGAAAATGACCGAGATTGCCAACAATCATCCCACCCTCCAGTCCCCCTCTCAGCTCTGCCTGATTATTCAAGTAGCTCAAGGCATGTTATGCATCATTGTTGAGACCACTTTGATATACTGACCCAGAAGACACTAGCATGGCATCTACACCTGCTCCATTCGTGCGGAGGACGCGGGGTCTTCCACGCCGGGACTATAATGCTCTACACAATGGCCTGGTTTCATCACCTTCTGAGCAATCCGAGGAATCCATTTGTGAAATAGGACGCCCCTACTCTCCGGAACCCTCTCCGTCTAGGGGCTCCCAATCTAAGCGGTCCTTCTGTATGCCTAGTTCTTCCCCCTCCCCGCTTGATCCCGCGTTTTCAGAGAGCACGAGCAATACGAGTAGCTTGCATCCGTATAAGAGACGAAAACCCAAGTCCTATTCTAGTTGGACCACTGAGCACTTTTGGACCACAGAGCTGGACAACACTTGGTGTCGACAGGGCGGCCCCTTGAAGAAAGACCGATTGCTGGTTTGCAAGCACTGTAGCTGGTCCTCCAGGGATTCGGCGCGCTATGGTTCCACTTCGAATTTGTTGGTGCATCTCCAGACCAAGCATCGTATCAAATCCGGAAATCACCCTATATTGTTGCCCACGGCCGAAGGGAACCTCGACCCATTCTTGGAGTCGCCGGGGAATAAGGCTGATGTTGAAAAGACGCTAGTCCAATGGGTCATTCAAACAAGGCAGCCTTTCACGGTAGTGGAGCATCCGGCGTTCAGGGCACTTATTGAAGCAACGGGGGTTAAGTTGCCTATCAGGACCGCTGACACTCTCTTCAATCGAATCAAGGACGAATTCCACTCAGATAGGGCTTGCGTGAAAGAAAAGCTTGCTATAAGCAGTCGAACACTCGCATTATCTCTTGACGTTTGGACTTCGGAGAATCAGATCGCGATAATGGGTATCATGGGTCATTGGATCTCCCCGAGTTTGAAAAGCGAGAAGAGCTTCTCGAGTTCACGGATATCAATGGACCACATTCTGGAGAAAATCTAGCGGAGATTGTGCTAAAGATGCTCGAGGAACTGGACATTGCGCCTAAACTCCTGACTATCACAGGAGACAATGCGGGCAACAATGGGACTCTCTGCGATAGTCTGCATGACGAGCTCTTCAAAAAGTACGACAACGATGATGACCGCTTTCGCATCAGGCCGCTAATGCGGTTCCGTGGACGACAGAGTTTTATCCCTTGCCTTGCCCACGTCCTCAATCTGATTTGCAAGGACGTGTTAGCTTCTTTGAGGGCCGGCTCGGCACGAGAGGCGAAGGCGATGCTGGACGAATTGGCCGTCAATACTAGCTCAGCATTTAACTCCCTTCACAGCACGAAAGGAGCAATCATGAAAATCCGGCTTTTGACGCTATGGATCGCCCGCAGCCCACAACGCCGCCAAGATTGGAAAGAAGTGTCACCAGGCAAGCAAGTCAGCTATGATGTTGACACCCGATGGAACTCAACATATGTCATGATCCAAGACGCCCTCCGGCTACAGACTGAGCTGGGGCAATTTGTCCGGATACATCCAGAAGTCCAGGCCCTTCAGCTCACCGATGACGAATGGTCGACGCTTCAGCAAGTAGCCAAGATTCTCAAGCCGTTTTGGGACCACACAAACTCCGTATCAAAGACTCGCCCGACAATTGTGGAAAGTCTACCAATTTATTGGAGCTTGGACGACTTGTTGAACGACGTTCAAAATGCCGCGGGAGATTTTGAAGATGTGAACACTGAAATTCGAAATGCAGTGGAAAGAGGGATTCGGAAGATGAACAAGTTTGCCAGGAAAATGGACGACAACCTTCTTTACTACGTTGTTTCCGTGTTGGATCCGCGTATCAAGTCGTCCTTGATTGTGTCGCAGATGAGTGACCAGGATGCAGGGCTCATCATTTCTCAAGTGCGCGAGTTTCTAAAGAAAGAATATCCTCCGGTGGCCTTTACCTTGCATGAATCTGAGAACTCACGTCCGCCGGGGATGTCGGAAACCATGTGGAAAACTCTACGCAAAGTTCAGCCTGCCCAAGGAAAACTTTCATCTGATATCGATAAATATTTGGACTCACCACCGGTCAGCTGGTCCCACCATATGATCGGCGATGCGGACGAAGAATGGGTCCTGAAATGGTGGAGGGCCAACGAATTTAATTTCCCTCTAATGGCAAAAGCCGCTCGCGATTACCTATCGATCCCCTCAGCAGAGGTCGGTATTGAACGTGAATTCAGTAATGCCAGAGATATGTTGGGTCTCCGAAGACACTGCCTAAACGCAGAGACTATGCGATGGTTGATGCTACTGAGAGAACGGTATCAAGCATAAATTTCTGGTAATTCAAACTTCAAAGCCTCGTATTATTACGCTGCGTAAGAACAAAATGATGAACCCTATTGATGTATTGGGATGTAATGAAATGAATGGTAATGTATGGGATCTGCGTATTTGGGATAAATATGAATTATTCATTTATTCATGATTAATGCGAATATGAATAGAGGGCTTATTCATATTCATATTATTCAATTCATTTAATTCATATTCGCAGATATTCATGATTATTCACAAATAATCATATTCCTTTCGGAGCCCTAGTGACCGAGGTCGTACTCTTCGAGCGCGGCCTGATGATGGCCCTGAGCGAAGGCGACAGACTACTTCAATAGCAATTGATTGCCCTTTTGGGATATCTCTACGGCTTCAAGAAAGCCAATGGAAGCTTACCGTGGAGAACCAGCACCATAATCATGAACCCTCGCCTACGTCTACTCATATCGCTCACCGGCAGCATGAGCTCTCTAAAAAAGCGCCTGAAATTGAGAAGCAGCTTGCGCAGGGCGTTTCTACGCGTCATATCCTCACTAGCATTCGAAAGGAGGATCAGGCTTCATGTCTTACGGCCCGAGACGTCTACAACCTTCGGAGGAAGCTTCATATTGAATTCCTTGCTGGCCGTACGCCGCTTCAAG